TTAAGATGTTGAAGCCATAGAGTATGCTACAGTACTAGTGCCTTGTGTTGCTATATATTTGATTATCTTTGTGCTTTCAGTGATGCTTATTGTGATAGTTGTCCCATTAGTTAGTCTCTCTCTATTTCTAATAATACGGAAAATACTGACCAAAGAAAATAGCCAATTGATATGGGGAATAATACCCTGCTTGGAGCAACATGAAATGCCATTTATATAGCAGTCACCTCTAATGACAGAAAGGTTATGTAATTACATTTTGGGATTAAGAAAAGGCCTCTGTTGTATAGTATATATTATTTGTATACACAAATTTAAAAATGTATTTCAGTAGAAAAAAACCACACAGATTGATTAGAGATCTGATTTCTCTTAGATTATAGCAGTGTTCCTGCTTCAATATAAGGCCGCTTTGTTTATTTATGTCAAAGGTTTCCAACCTTTCTGGGCTTGAGGACCGGAGGGAAGGAGAGCAGCTTCAAAATTGTTGCACATGCATGTGCGCACGCACACAAGGCCACGCACACTGGTGCAGCACTAGCAGCCCCATTCGTGCATGCACTGGTGCTGTGTGCATGCACGAACAGCCACGCCCCCCCCATGGCAGCTAGTGGCACATGTGCAAACATTGCAGGCACCCATAGCATCCCTGTTCGCGCCCTGCACACATCCACAAATGGGGCCACTAGTGCAAGTGGGGAGGAATGCACCCCCATGCGTAACTGTTTTCAGGTCCTGCTGGCCAAGACCGGGCTGCGGACCATAGGTTGGGGACCCCTGATTTATGCTATCCTGATATTAACTTCTATGGACTTGCATAAAAAAGATGGGCAGATTAAGATGATCTATCTCAGATGTCTGATGGATCACTTTGTTTTTCATGAGATGGTTGGGGATTTTCTTGCTTCTGAAGACTACCCAGAAAGTGCAACTGATAAGTGCTGAAATTTCAGCAATGCTAAACCTCTGTTGAGGTGCTACAGTTGTTGCCAATACATTACACTATCAGACTAATATTGACACTTGCATCCATGTTACCTGGGAACACTGCAAATGAAGTCTGCTCAGCCTTTGTGATGGGCTTGGGAACTATTGCTTCCCTTCAGGGGCACAGATTCAGGGACCAACAGTCTCTAATTGCCCTTTACCCATTTGATATTACCACTCAAGATATAGACATGCGCGTATTCAGTTTTTATATAGGCTAGAGCAGTCGGTTATGTGTTGATTGTTTTTAACTGAATGTTTTTAAGATGTTTAAGAAGATTAATATCCTTATGCAAGCTGCCAAGAGTGTGTGGGTTTGGGTGCAACAGAAATTATGAAAATAAGTAAAGAAGAAGCCAATTGTTGCTAGACCAAAAAGTTGTATCAAGCATAGAGTATGCATAAAAATCCCTGTCAATTTTTAATTTAAATGGAATTCTTTCCTGAAGTAGTATGACATAATGGTGTGTATGTAAGCCTGGAAAAGATTCAGGAGCATGAGGACTTAATAGAGATCAGTTTTCTTAAAATTAGTTCCATAAAGACCAGACCAGTGGCATTTCAGTGATACAAATTTATACAGGGAATGAATGCAAAACAGCATTAACTTTCCAATAAACTTCTGTTCCAATGGAGGAGAAAATTTGTAGCTCAGGGTTGAACTGTGGAATCCTTGGTGCTCTCTGAGCTTGGTTGTTTTCTTGCAGATGTTTTATTCTCCATCAGATATATTGACTTAAACTGACAGTGTTTTAGAGGTTTTGGAAGGAAGATAGTATTCTAACACAAACTTTAATCTAGCTGCACACATCATGTTTGCTTTATCTTCTTTACTAATGGAATAAAGATGGGTCATCCCACCTGTCACGTGTGTATTTTGGGGGATCATTCCAGTTTTCATTGATCCCATTAGGAGAGTGTTGAAAAATATCCATTACCATATGTCAGTTGCCCTTTGGCACAATAGTTCAGTATACAAGTATATTCGTCAAGAATTACAGAATTGAAATTATCTCCTGGTTCCACATGTTCAACCATCAAATTCCTAATAGTGAGAACATTGACTAAGTATTGTTAACATTACTTTTGAACCAATTCCTAATGCCTCCCCCTAGCTAGTCAGGTGATTCTGTGGTGGTGCTGGCCGAGTGTCTAAAGCAGGGGTTCTTAACCCCTGGTCCATGGACCGGCACCAGTCCATAGCATGCCAGAAACTGGGCCGTGCAAACAAGCAAAGCCCAAACAAGCAAAGCGGGATGCGGGCAACACACAAAACCACACCCCCTCTGGTCTGCGGAAAAACCTCTCTCCACGGAACTGGTCCTGATTCCCAAAAGGTTGGGGACTGCTGGTCTAAAAGCTGTAAGGATCTGGATGGGTCAATCTTAGTAAAATGGAGTGCCTCTGGTTTTGGCTTTCCAGGTATAGGAGGTATTTCATCTCTGACTCTGGATAGGGTGGCACTTCCATAGGATGAGTTGGTGTGCAATTTTGGGATTCTCTTAGAGTCACAGCTTCTGCTTAATGAGCAGTCGTGGCTAGGAGGGCTTTTGCAAGATTTGTCTTGTGCAGCAGTTGAACCTCTTCCTGGGCCAAAAAGCCTTGTTCATGGTCAGTCAAACCTTGGTCACTTTCCATTTGGATTACTGCAATATTGCAATAGGAGCTGTGATGGCACAATAATTAGAATACAGTACTGCAGGCTAACTCACTGCTCACTGCCAGAAGTTCGATTCTGACTGGCTCAAGGTTGATTCAGCCTTCCATCCTTCTGAGGTCAGTAAATTGAGGACTCAGATTGTTGGGAACAATATGCTGATACTGTAAACGGCTTAGAGAAGACTGTACCGCCATGAAGCGGTATAAGTTTAAGTCCTGTTGCTAATATACTTCACATGGATTGTAAGCTCACGTAACATTTCTGTTGCGTGACTGCACTAGCTCTCAGGTTCAAGAGAGTTTGAATTTAAGACTGTTTGAGGCTGCGTAGAGATTCCTCTTTTGACTCTACCCCCCCAGGTTCTGCCACTCCATGCTTGATTCAGAATGCATCAGTAACTTCTTTAAAAACTGACTTTTCTAGCCTGCAATGATTGTAGGCAATAAAAGGCTTATCTGTATATTCTGTCTGCTGTTTTGGAATAATTATGTAGCAACAAAAAGTGCTTTTTTGTTGCAACTTATTGGTCATAACTGTTTAGATGGGCAAAAGATTGCTGGGGAAGGAAATCTGTAAAAACCTTATTATAAATGATAAGAGCTTTATCTTGCCCCTTTTTTGCTTTTTTAATGGATGCTTAGATATTGTAAAACACATTTAAAATAGAATTTCTGTTTTTATGATCCTTATTATTCTGGATACGGTCTTAATGTAGAAAGAGCTTTCCAACCAAGTATTTCAGAGTATTAGTGACACAATAGGTTATGTTAATAATATTCAACTGAAGAGAGTCTAAATACCATACTTCCTGCATTCAGAGTTTATGAGGAAGTATGATGTGTCTTTTCATGAATGAGATTGGACTTAGGGAATTTTACCCTTTTCTCCTCATTGAGGTTGAGGATATTTAGAGGTTAGAGAGAAGTTCAGATGGTTGCTAAGAAGTCTTACAAATTAATGAATCTGAAAACAGTCCGTATTTAGTTGTGCTTATCTCCTCTGCCCTCATTGCAAACCCATTTTCCATTGTTCAATGCTTAAGGAAACCATGATTGAAATGCAGACTTTTAATGCATTGAAAGAACGATATGCATTTCTGAAAACAAGGGAGAAACTCCTGCATGCTTTGCAGCAACTCTCAGGTCTGTTATAAATTGCTGGGAGAGAGATATCCATGTTAGTATTTGAACATAATTAGAAAAGAAAAAACAATTGGCCACAGCTTGTCTTCATGAATGGAGAACTGTCTTATGAGAGATATTGGATAAGATATTGAACTGTTTTTTTTTAACAGAAGTAGTAACAAGTGATAAAGAAGTTGGTGTATTGCATATCTTTTCTTCCACAAGAAAACAGGAAAGTTTGATATGACTTCAGAACCTTCAAGTGCTTGAAATGCTAGTGAGAATCATCTTAAATAATTCAGGGAGGCCATCTTGCTTCAGGGGGCTCACAGGATGGTCTAAATCAAAGGTCTTCAAACTTGGCCCTTTTATGACTTGTGGACTTCAATTCCTATGCTAGCTGAGGAATTCTGGGATTTGAAGTCCACAAGTCATAAAAGGGCCAAATTTGAAGACCCCTGGTCTAAATAAAGATAGATAATTGCATGGTGGAATCTGACCTTCTCCTAGATAGATTGGACTATGATTTGGAGAGCTATTGTAGATACCATATTAGTGGCTGTAAAGTAGATGGAGCTATTGTATTTGTGGTTTAGGTCTTCCAAGGAAAATTTTGGTCCTCCAAACTTTTAAAAGTGTTTTCTAGAAACATCTTCTGGTTGTCAGTATTACAGAACCCTATTTTTTAGGCTAGATAATGTAATAGACATGGAAGTTTTTGTTGTCTATGTTCCCTTTCTGTATTCCAGAAATTCCAAAATTTCTGTGTTGAGTTTCATATATTGAGAGAGGAAGGAAGATAACAGAATATTTATATGGAAAAGAAGACTAAAAACTGACACTGGCTACATGTTGTCCAAGAAGCAATTTTGTTTTGTTCTTTAGCAGCCAGTTGAGTTGTAAAGAAATTGCAGTTTAAAGTTAGATTGATTTTTGCATACAAAATTATTTTACATATTTATACGAGCTAGTCTCCATAAGACCCATCTATTTTGCTAAATGGCACCAGCTTTATTGTGATTTAATTTTTTTCTAAGGGGGATCCCTTAATACTTTTTCAAATTTCTGCATGATAAATAACTTCATTAATCAGAAGTTGACTGACTCCATATTGGGTTATAAAACTAAATATACATTGTCTGATGCATCTTTACGAAAAAAATTAAAACAGTGACTTTTAATGTTACTAAGTAAGACAATCTTATTTCCAATTGCTGTTTCTCTTGCAGTTCAGCAAGTGAAGGGGACATGGCACGTTTAACAAAACGGCGACAAGCAGATACAAAAGCTATCCAACACCTTTGGTCAGCTATAGAAATCATCAGAAACCAGAAGCAAATTGCTAACATTGATCGTATTACAAAGTAAGTATCTTTTGAATAATAAAACGATAAAATGTACCAATTATGCAAATGGAGCATCATCACACAAAGATTTTCCCTTGCATAAAAATGATTCAGGTCCATGCTATAAAATCCCTGGATCAGGTACAAAATAGGTGAATGGAGAAAGTACATTCAGAACTGCTCTGGATTTATCTGGTGGTTTGTTTTGCCAATAGTATCAAGTTGTAGGAAAGTGTAAAATGTTTGTGGTCCAATTTAAAATAAATTTCCATTGTAAAGACTGTGTAGCCTTGAAGAGGTTTTTTTTTACTGCTTATAAAGCATAAAAAAACATGAAAGAATTATATTTTTAGCTCAATAGAATTTCTCCTATGCAAATGTGTTACATCTATCTGCTTTGAAACATAATGTTGAATGTCTGGGATGAGTCCAGAGACTACCTACTGAATATATCTTCGTATATTTCAAATCCTGATTCAGTCTGTGACCTAGTCAGCTAAAACAGAGCAGGTGATGGGGAATATTCAGGTGATGCAGTCAAGTAGAAAATTAGGGCTAGACAAATAATTTGATCCAGCGTAAGATATTCCCCCCCCCCCAGGTATTCATCACAATGAGATGAAGGGAATAATGCATTTTGGCTCGAGTGTATAATGTCACTGAACTAAATTCTAGCATTGGCTAAGCTGGGAGTTGTTATGCAGCAATCTTTGAGGGCCACAAATTCTTCACTTCTGAACAATATTCTTTCTTTTATTCTCCACATGGTAGGAAGGCAAATTAAAAGTTTCTGTTTCAATTAATTTTTTGCCATTACATCTGAACATGATAAATTGTGGTTTGCAGTACTGTTATTTCTTGCAAACAAAGATCACAAACCACAATTCTATTTTGTGATCTTAATTTTGAGGCAAACTGTATTTTGAATAAATGGGATCCAGATGATTCTGTAAAATGAGTTGCCACAAAATATAATTGCAGCCTTTTGCAATGGGATATGAATAAAGGGGGGAGGAGAATGTGCGTAACCCTGAAGATTATGCCTGCCCTCGTATTCCACATCGTTTCTGAATATAATAATTGTGTCATGCAATGTGAATGCACTTGGCCACAGTTCTGCAAGTTTCTTCAAAGCAGAGGTTATGTAGCACCACGTTCTGCTTTAAGGAACCCTCTTTGTTGATGTTTGTTAATGTGTTGTCATTGTATTATCACTGTTTGGTGTGGGTAATACAACAGCTGTTGTATTCTGGCCTCTAGATAGACATTTTACCTCATAGCACCCTTTCTGAAGGTGAAAGTATTTGCTGAGTAAAAAGCTTATCCTACTTGCAGAATGATTCATTGAAAGCAGTTGAGCATCCCTCATGATTAAAAGTGAGGAAAAACACTTCACGTGAAATTTCTACTTTTCTACTTTTTCTAGAATGTGGTCCTTTAAAAATTGGTTATTCTTTTGTTCTTGGGATATAAAATCAGACCAGCTGAGCAGTTTCCTTAGCATTTTCCAGGAGAGCTAATGGCAAGACAATTGATTCAGCCATTTTGTAACACACAGGTAAATGTAACTGAGCTTGTAAACATTTGAGCACTTGGATATTTTTATTTACTTCCAGAGCTGAATTAAATTGCAATATGTCATATAAAAGAAGGAAAGATTGTGATATATTGATGCAAGTTACAGCTAAGGGATAAATTATATCACAAAGTAGTAATCAATGTATCCTTTGTGCTACAGGAAAATGTGAAACCAGAGTAAATTGGTGATGCATATATTCCATGAAACAGAGTGGCCAACAGTTGTTGTTTTTTTAACCATGTCACAATTCCTCTTTAAATGTAAAAAAAAATAACTAATTAGTTCATCTCTTTGAAAATATTTAACATGAAGGATAATTAGATCATGTTGCTAAGCCTGTTTCCATGGAATTCATGAGTCTTTCTGAAATTCAGTGAAATGAATTCATTTAGTTAATAAAATTTATGGGAGTGGTCTCCTGGTTGCACTGAGAAATAAAACTTTCCAACTGTGCAATGAGAATGAGAAGCATTCTGTATATTGTAGAAAGTTCAGTCCAAATGCATATGGATTGGCTTGGTTTTAAAATGTTTGCTTCCAGTGAAGTAGAATCTAGAATAGAACTCTATTAAAATATGTTTGAAAGCCCTTCTTGAAGTACTAGATATACAGTAGTGGAGTGGCAGGACAAGCAATTTATTTTAGCTATAGTAGAATATTTGTTTGATCAATTGATTTTTATTCCACTTTTATTTTTTGATAACTCAAAGGCACGTACATATATAATGTTCCTGCCTCCCATTTTCTCCACATAATGGATTGATCTAAGACAGGGGTAGGCAACCTTGGCTCTTTTATGCCTCATGGACTTCAATTCCCAGAATGCTGGCTCATGAATTCTGGGAGTTGAAATCCATGAGTCATAAAAGAGCCAAGGTTGCCTACCCCTGATCTAGGAAAAAATTACTAGCGCAGCTGGCTTTTTCATGCCTAATGGATGCCTAGAACTCATGGTGTTCTTGTTTCTAGTCCAGCACTTTAGCTACTGCATAAAACTGGATCTTAAGTTTTGTAGGGACAAAAGGTCCCAAGTTGAATTCCCATCATCGCCAGGAAATCCTGTTGTCTGAAATCTTCTCACTAGATCAGTGGTTCTCAACCTTTTTAATGCCACGACCCCCAACCGGTCGTAAGTCGAGGACTACTCAACTGGTGCAGCATCGTTTGCAGAATGGGACTTTTGGCGGGCTCAGCAGGGCCGAGACAGTCTGGACAATTCCTATTGGCTTTTGAAAGCCAATAGAATTAGACTCTATTCAAGAGAGTCTATTCTATTGGCTTTCAAAAGCCAATAGAATAAAAGGGAGTAGCACAGCTAAGGAAAAGGGGAAAAAATGGCGGACTGCGTTGTTTGGCTACCCCCATGAAATGGTCGTTCAACCCCAAATGGGGTCCCGACCTACAGGTTGAGAACCACTGCACTAGATGGATCCAGTATGACTCAATATAATATATTTCAGAATTTCTACGATCTGATGTTTTATCTGTACATTAACATGGATGTAGTTATGTGAGCCTGATTTACACATTATATGAGCATACATTATATGAGCATATATGAGCATACAATTCTGCTGGTCCTTTTCAGGGATTCACAGCTTTAGAAGAACTGACTTTTGAAAAGAAGTAAGCAGATTCTTAAGTTTGTAGAGTTGAAAATCTTTTTCCTGAAGGAGCAACATTAATTTCACTGGAATTGCATAATTTTGTTTTCATTCTGATACTAGTCAGAACTATTATTTAAATAGTTCTATAATTGTTCTACTACATAGTTTGAACTAGAATGTTGTGAAAGAGGAATTCAGATCAAGTTCCTAATCTACATTTCCTCCAAGCCCAGTTCCCAGTCTCACTAAGTTACCAGATTTCAGTATGAGAAAAAGCAGAATCCGGTTGGTCATGAAGACAAGTCTATAGGTATGATTTTCTCTACAATTTCTTGGAATATCTTTGGAATCCTGCTGATAATGAAAAAAAACTGATTTTGGTCTCTCTGGGAGCATTTTGTAGATCACTAAATGCATGCATATGTATTGTGCTTGTTGGTGGAATAATTGAAAGCAGAGCTTTTTCACATTTTTGTGAAAAGTAAGTGTATTCGTTATTGGTTAAAGATACATTTCATCCCCACTTGAACCAAAGAGGAATTTATTGGGACATTTAAATTGCATGACTGTTGGTATTTAATTAGATTGCAATAAAATAATTTTATGAGCTTAATTCCTATTTTATTTTTTTAAATAATGCTAACTTACCTTAGCCAGGTGGATTTTGTTCTCTATTGTACACTGACTTCAAGTATTTAAGCTCAAGTCTTTGGGATGGTCATTTAGGGAGTGCTTATATCTGCATTGTATATTTTTTTATTATTGTAGCTTTAGCATTAGCAGATGAGCAGATAGAAAGTACAAATGTACAATTGTTAAGGACCTAAAATGTATTTATACCTCTGAAGATCACTCACTTCCTTTTCTATCCATTGGAAGAAGGGTGTTATGTTATTCCTGATATTTGTTACTGCTAGCTGTTACTGCTAGCTTTTATAGAAATGTTTTACCTTAATTGTTACAACACAAATCAGCGATCTTAAAGGTGTGTCTTTCTTTGATTTCAAAAGCAGTTTATAAAATAGAAGAGTCTTTCTGCTACAGATAACAGTTGAGGAGAATTAGAATCCTTCTCATGTACATCATGTCATAAAATCTTAATATAAATAAAATTAATACTGTATACTAAGAAACATCCCCTTTGAGTGTATTATTGCTAATATTCTAATATTCATAATCTTAAAAAAATTTCTTCGAAAGTAATTATTTTCAATTTAGCTATCTAGAATTTTATTCTGGAAATGAAGATGGTTCACAAGGAAATTATATCACATGCAAATGCACAAATACCTGTATGTGTTGTAACATATTAGGACATGCCACCTAATATCATAAGCTGTACAATTAATGACAGGTTTGGGGGCATACTGTGAATTTAGTCACTGGGACAAGCAAGGCTTATCTGCATTAAAATTATTACCGTACTAGTGACAACTGACCAGGTAAAAGTATTACATGAAGTTACTGAAAGTTTGTAAAGCATGATGGGAGAGGACTACTTTTCCAGCTTCTGTAGAAGTATCTGGCAGATTTTAATCTAACTCCATCTAGTATTTCTCCATTATTCAGCACCATGCATAAGCTGTTATAATTTTAAGTAAATTACGGTACTAATTGCAATGGATTCATGCACTCTGTGATTGCAGTCCATCTGATTGTGGGCATGATTCCAAAGGAGGAGAGGAATTTGGTGGGTTTAAATTAAGTTCATTCAGGTTGAAACAAACTTCACTGGGCAGTCAGAAGCTCTTTTATTAGTCCAAATTCTTTTTCTACCACATTATTATTCAAGATGATAAAGAAAAGCACTATATTTCAAATAACATGGCAGC